CTGAGCCAAAGTTGGACCCTTAACTGAATGAGCCACCCACGCACCCCTTAAAAATAATTTTTTAATGTTTATTTTGGCTAGTATTTGTTTTTAAAGAAAGGTTTCCCCCTCCCCCCTGACCCTTTTATTTAGTATCTTTTTAGACTCAGATATATTTTTTAATGTGTTATTATTCATTATTGTTATAATTCCTCTTGATGCTCAGGTTATGCCAGAGTTGGCCTTGAGAGCACTCAGATACTATCTTTGAATTGTCTGTAGAATTTCTTCTAATTATATATCTGTAGAAAAATACGTTGGACTTAAAAATGACCTTTTGGATAATACTTCTTTAAATCCACAGGGACTTTTCTTTTATTCAGTGTGATTAAAATGTAGCATATTTTTACAGACAGGATTATATCAATTCAAGAAACAAGTCATTTTGGGACCCAAATTATTTGAATGGCAGTTTCCCTATAACCTATTAGAAGGTTTTAGTTTTAGTTATCCCTTCCTCTAGTGTGGAAGCTTACTTTAGATTTTTTTGAGTTGCAATTATTTCCTGTTCTTGGGGTCTAGGGACAGGGCGGTAGACAATGACATCTTTAAAGTATGCTCTGTTTTGTTATTTTAGGTGTTAGAGTCTGTACTATATATAATGCTTTTGCTAAAAAGGGACACGTAAGAAAAAGCAAATGCAATGTAATGGACAATACTCCTTCCATAGAAATTGATGGAAGAAGTGCTGGCAGTATGTCTGAAATAAGCTTTGCTAAAATGCCTGGGAGGAGTCATCCCTGGTACTGATTTTAGAGGTGTTTTTTTTTATCTTGAAGAACATTTGACTTATTTTTCTTAAGAAGGTTTTATTATAGGGACGCCTGGGTGGCTCAGTCGGTTGAGTGTCTGACTTGATTTCAGCTCAGGTCATGATCTCACAGTACAGGAGTTCGAGCCTTGCATCGGGCTCTGCGCTGACAGTGGGAAGCCTGCTTAGGATTCTCTGTCTCCCCTCTCTATCTGCCCCTACTCTGCTCACTGTCTCTCTCTCTCTCTCAAAATAAATAAATAAAGTTAAAAAAAATTAAAAAAAAAAGGTTTTATTATACTTGTCTTTGTGTGTAGAGAATTCTCTACAAAGCAACACATGAATATTATGGCTTACTTTTAAAAATCTCTTGCCGTTTAGCTTTGAGGCGGGATCTGGTTATGACCAGTTAAGCAATCCAAGCCTGTTGGCAATTCTAAAATCTTTGTGTGGAGGCATTTATCTGGAAGATGAGATAATTTAGAGCTCTGTGAAATTGTTTTGTGTCTGTCTTGATTGCCTTGTCATTTACTTTTGTCCTTGTGGCTTCGACTGCTTTGAGATGAATGGGGTGCACATCACCTTTGCTATAGATAGACAAGGCATAGCGTTTCAGGGTTATAAACTGAGGGGCTCAACAGAGAAGAGGGAAACAGACACAGGCTGCTGCCAAGGGAGGAGGTACTACTTCTTTCCAATTGCTGTCAGCGGAAAAGAACAGAGCTTTAAAAAGACTCAAGCTATTGCTAACACCATATATGTGAAGGAAGTGGCATAGCACGTGGGTGGGGAAAGGATAAATTGTGGAAACTCTGCAACAAATGATGTTTGCACAGTTGGAGAGCCATGTGCAAAATTATGCAATTGTTCCCTACTTTAAGCTGTTCATAAAACTTAATTCCTGGTAGATTAATACAAATTTTAAAGACAAAGTATATACCTAATATGATATCTTAATTTAATGATAATGTTAACCTTGATGAAGAATGAAATATCACCATTGTTTCTGGTATAGTAAATAATGCTTCTTATGTGACTTCTTCATTTAATACCATTAACAAAGTGGTGTAAAAATATTTAACTTTATGAGTTTTCTGGGGGAGGTTTCTTTTTCTTAAAAACAGTTTTTTTAGGGGTACAGGTGGCTCAGTCAGTCGAGTATCCAACTCTTGATTTCGGCTCACGTGTTCTCGTGGTTTGTGGGTTCAAGCTGTGCACCTCCACACTAACTGCGCAGGGCCTCCTTGGGATTGTCTCTCTCCTTTTCTTTCTGCCCTTCCCTGCTCACGTGTGCACATACCTACATGCTCTCTCTCTCAAAAAAGAAAACCACCAAAACACAGTTATATTTATTTTAATTTATTATTGTTTTTATTAAAGATTTTATTTTTAAATAATCTCTACACCCAATGTGGGGCTTGAACTCACAACCCTTGAGATCAAGAGTTGTATGTTCTACCTACTAAACCAGCCTGGTGGCCCAACAGTTTGTTTTAAAGAATCTCATTTATAGAATCATTGGCCCATTAGCTGGAACAAAGGGTGAATTACTAAGGTATTGAGGAGTTTATGTTTGAACCTTCCAGTAAAGGGATCAGGGAAGGAAATGATCCCTGTGTTTTCTAGAAGATATTTGGGCTCAAAAGCTTTTCAGCTCCTCTGCTGAAGGCTGCAAGTTGCCAGTTCTGACATATGTGAGAAATGTCCCATATAAGAGAAATGAATCCATTTTCAGGCCTTGGGAATCTGGTCAGTCCAGAAAAACATCATTTTCAACTGCTATCTTAATTATTTCCAGGCTCTTAGCAAACAGCCTTGTTAATAAGAAGGGGTAGATCCACAATAAAAGCAGGAGTACATTATATATATTCAGACTTAATTTTTTATCCTATTAATATAAAATAATTCCAAATGTTTAATGTTAAAACATTAAGATGTATGAATTTGATCTTGCCGTTTGTCATTTCGAGCCACACATCAGACTCTGTGCTGACAGCTCAGAGCCTGGAGCCTGCTTCAGATTCTGTGTCTCCCTCTCTTTCTGCTCATGCTCTGTCTCTCAAAAATAAGTAAATGTTAAAAAAAAATTTTTTAAAAAGATGTATGAATTTGACACTCAGATATGTTTTACATAGTCAGTTTGCATTTCATGTTATTCCTTAGTATGATTTTCTGATTTCTGATATCCTGCTCAGTTGAAAGATTACCATGAGCAAGAACAAGATTTTCCTCAGAAAACACTTCTGTTTCACTTTTAGCACATGGACATGTGAACACTCAAGATTCCAAAGTCCTATGTTAAGGAATATCACTACAATTAATTTTGCTTGCAAATTTAAGAAAAATGATTAGTCACTCATTCTTGCTACTGCAGATCTCAGTAATGTATACATACAACTATTAACATTAAACAATATAATTGCTAATCCTTATACCTTTTACAGAAAGGATCTCAGCAAGAACTGAATTAAAGCCAGTTTTATGTTTTTAGTTCTAAATGTTTGCACTTTATGTTCCTTAATGTGTTATTAGTTTTGTTTTATGCTGTCTTTCATTCTTCCTTTAACTATCAGTTCCAAAATTATTATTTCATGCCATTATTACATTATTACATTATTACAGATGAGATCTGTATTTAATATTATAAATAGGTTATTTATTTAATGACAGTGCAGCCACACATAACTAATTCTGTCCGTTATATACTCGTGGATTAATATTAGTTCATTGTTTAGGTGCAAGAGTTTTGAAAGTTTCCTTGGGCCCAGTGTGGTTCAGTGCTGCTCTGTATTTGAAGTAGGGTCTGACACAGCCTAGGCCAATAACTTAGGTTTAGGGAATCTTTCCTTTCAAAATCACATACTGATGTTTAGCTAGTATGTTTTAGGCCATCTCAGAAATTTTTACCTGGTACTGAGTATTTGGAGAATGGGACTGAATGCCTATCAGTGAAAAAAGTTATATGAAGGAAATGTAATTAGCATGGTTGAAGATTGAATATAAATATATACGGATGAATTTATGTTTGGGTTTGCTTCAAAATGATCTGTTGGTTAGTGGAAGGGGATGTGGGGGGTACTTTAGATGACATAATAACATTTGAATGGGTAATTGTTGGAGTTAGGAGATGGTTGCATGAGGATTTATTCTCTCTATTAAAATATGTTTTTGAGATTTTTTTAAGTGTTTTGTTTTTTTGTTTTTGTTTTTTTTTTAATTTTAGAGAGAGAATGCAAGTTGGGGAGAGGGGTAAAGGTGGGGAGGGAGAGAATCCCAAGCAGGCTCCACACTCAGCACAGTGTGGAACGTTGGGCTTGATCCCACAACCCTGAGATCATGACCTGAGCTGAAATTAACAGTCTGATGCTTTAACTGACTGAGCCAGCCAGGTGTCCTGAGATTTTTTTTTTAATTAAAATGCTAAAAAATAATTGAATGGAAGACCTTCAATCAATGATGCTCCTTTTGTCAATTGGCAGGTTCCTTGAGAGAATTAAGCCCTTAATGCAGCCAGTCTCAGTAATGAATTAACTTCTCTCCTGTGTATTTAGAATGGTGCTAGTTATGTACCAATCTTGGGAGAATTGAAAAGAGTGGTAATTTTTTTGTGTTTTGTGGTTCCTAGTGAGGAATATTTGCTGAGAAAGCCTGGTTGAGGATATAGAAATACATAATTGATTCAACATTGTACTGTTTTGTAATTTGACATTTCTTTGCTATTCAGTTATTTTTGTTTGTTTTTAAAGATTTTATTTTTAAGTAATATCTACACCCAGCGTGGGGCCTGAACTCACAACCTTGAGATCAAGAGTCACATGCTCTTCCGACTGAGCCAGCCAAGCACCCCATTTCTTTGCTTTTTATTTTATTTATTTATTTATTTTTTTTCAACGTTTATTTATTTTTGGGACAGAGAGAGACAGAGCATGAACGGGGGAGGGGCAGAGAGAGAGGGAGACACAGAATCGGAAACAGGCTCCAGGCTCTGAGCCATCAGCCCAGAGCCTGATGTGGGGCTCGAACTCACGGACCGTAAGATCGTGACCTGGCTGAAGTCGGACGCTTAACCGACTGCACCACCCAGGCGCCCCTCTTTGCTTTTTAAATAGAAATTTTAAACTTCAGTTTTTGAACATGGTCAGAATACCATGTTGTTACCATGTTACCCAGTACTAAAACAGTTGGAAAATGTGGTTTTCTTTTCTATTAGGTATAGTCTAAAAGTGCAGCCTGCTCAAAGAATGCACCTCGCTGTGGTTGCCTGTGGTGAAAGACTGGAAGAAACTATAACCATGTTGAAGTCAGCTATCATTTTCAGCATCAGACCGCTGCAGTTCCATATTTTTGCTGAAGATCAACTACATGATAGCTTTAAAGGCATAGTAAGTATTTGAGACTTTGTCAAGACTGTAGAGGTGAATATTCAATGTCACATTATAATAGAATGTTGTTGTATTCCTTCATTGAACAAAAATATTTATTCAATAACTAACTGCCCTCCTAGAGTGGGGCGGCCACTCCATCTAAGAATCCAGATGTAGGTGTAAGAGGAACGTTTGTTTTTGTTTTTTTTTTGTTGTTTTTTTTTTTAATTTTTTTTTTTCAACGTTTATTTATTTTTGGGACAGAGAGAGACAGAGCATGAACGGGGGAGGGGCAGAGAGAGAGGGAGACACAGAATCGGAAACAGGCTCCAGGCTCCGAGCCATCAGCCCAGAGCCTGACGCGGGGCTCGAACTCCCAGACCGCGAGATCGTGACCTGGCTGAAGTCGGACGCTTAACCGACTGCGCCACCCAGGCGCCCCGGAACGTTTGTTTTTGAAAAGGAGGTTACTTCAAGTCCTTTGCAAAGCATGGAGGTTTTATTTCACCGGCTTTAGCTCCAAGATGATTTGACTGAAAAGTTCTGTGATTTAATTGTATTCCCATGTTTGGCTTGGGAGTATCTCAAACAGTGTGCACAAGGATTTTATTTCTGTTTTGAAGGGAGGGAGCTCTTGATTGACAATATAGAGGGAAGCGGCTTTTTGTTCTGATAAGAAAGTTCTTTATTTTGGTTTTATATTAGTTACAATCAGTGGCTATATTGGCAGAAAACTTAAACTAACAGTGGCTTAAACAAGACAGAAGTTTTTTTCTTTCTCACATATAAGTCGACAGTCTGTGGTATATGGTAACTCCATGTCTTCCGGGACTCTCTTCTGTCTTGTGGCTGAGCCATTTTGACATAAGGCTTCTACCTTATGGTCCCAGATGGCTACTCCAGCTTTGGCCCTCACACTCATTTTAACCAACACAAGGGAGAAAGGAGTGAAGAAGGCCAATCCCTTCGTACCCTCTTAAAATACTTTTCAGAAGTTGCATATGACATTCTTGCCAGTGTCTCATTGGTCTGAACTTAGTCATGTAACTATATTGTTACAGTTGTTTGTGAGGGTTAAAAGTATACTCTTTAGTCAGGGCAACCATATAACCTTAACAACAAAAAAATTATAACTGTACAAGGAGAGTAGAACAGATAGATATGGGTAAAGAACATATAAGAGAAAGAAAAGTCACCTGAAATGTCACCACCTTGTGTTCTTAGACAGTGGTAAAGATGATGATAATCATCTGAACCACCGAGGCACCTCGGACAGATATTTTCTAACCAGTTCATATTGGTCTGACTTTGAGTGTAAATATTTCCTATTATACATACTTGGGTATAAAATTAGGGCTTAATTTTTTTGAGTTTAATTTGTTTAGTGATTGATGGGATTTATATGTCAGATGAGGTAGATGAACAACTTGCAAGGCTTTCAGCTTTCTGATTTTGTGGTTGTTGTAACTTTCATTGTCCCTCTGATCTAGAATGTTACTAGGATTTTAATACTGTGAATAAAACAAATGGTGGAAAAGAAGAATCTGACTTTCTCTGAACTGTGTACAGGATTAACATATAATATCTTAATTTTTAGCTTTTCAAAATAATCTGTTGGTTTATGATTTTGCAGAGAAAATTGAAAGTGAAACAATCTAACCTGAGTTCTTATTTTTTTATATATTTTTTAGCTTGAGAGCTGGTCATTTCTGCAGACATTTAATTATTCATTATACCCAATAACTTTTCCAAGTGAGAATGCAGCGGAATGGAAAAAGCTGTTTAAACCGTGTGCTTCCCAGAGATTGTTCTTGCCAGTAAGTTTTTTCTCCGGTGTTTTGTTTTTCCTTCTAATTTTGCCTTTACAAACATGAGTTAATGAAGAGTTACATAGAAGTCAGTTAAAAAAACACAAACACATGTAGGTTTTCCCTTTTTACATTAGGAAAAAAACTTCCTGTAGAACAAATAAAAGCTACAAAAAAAACATCTGTTAAAAATGAAAAATGTAAGTAATTTCTGTTGAAATACTGTTTCTTACATTTTAATTTATTCAGGGGCTGTAGACTGTTTTTTTTTTTTAAGAAGGAAGGGAGGTCATCAGATCTTAATGGAGCCAGGCCTGTTGCAGACATGCACGGACAGTCTCCCCTTCTAGTTGCCCACTGCATTTATAATTTGGGAAGTGAAGTAGATTGCATCATTAAGTAGCCATTTCTTTCTTATACCAAGCCACATTACTCTTTCCTGATTATATTTTAATGCAGTTGGCAAGGTGTGTGTGTTTTTTTTTTTAATTATTTACAGTTTATTTTGAGAGAGAGC